TCTATCTATCTATCTATCTATCTATCTATCTATCTATCTTTCTGTCTATCTATCGATCTATCTATCTTAGAATTATAGTGAATCACTGAAAGACTCAGCTGTTTGTGCATTAATATTTTGTCAGGAACGTTCATACACCGTGGGCATGAAAAATGAAAGAGGTTTTTGAAAGACCCTTCCAGAAGCCCAATGCTAGCCTGTTTTATCCAATCAGAAAGCACCTCTGATGTTTATGGGACCGTTGTCTTATCAGAACACCCAAAGGTGTCCATGTTTCAACCACCAAGCTGTTCACATGAGGTGAGGATGAAATATCTGGTGATCGTCCTCCTCTTTCTTCATTAATGCACTCTGAGCAGAGCACCAGCACCAGATCATGATGCTACTACCACCACCATTTTTGAAGTAGGGGCTTGGTCAGCACCCTCTAAGTCCATAGAGATGAAAAACCTGGCTTTGCTGTGGACAGTGTCCTTGGTGTTGTAGAAGATCCATATTATCGTTTGTATGGAACCTTGGTGATTTGTCAAAAACCAACATACTGTCAACTAAGGGTGACAGATGAGTGTTGGTCAACCCAATGAGTGTTTTGTGCTGGCAAAGAGAAACTACAAGCTGCAGCCACTTCCAGACTGATCCCAAGTTCTGCTGACTTCTCTGTCTGCTGCTTTATTTAATCCCTAGATGACAGAGAAGCTTGTCATCTTTACTGTATTAATGTCATCTGAAGACGGATTTAAAGGCACATTAAATAAAACGAAGCTACTACAGGAGGAAACTAGTCAAGTTGATGTGAAGGGCAAGTATTCTTTGGAGAAGTGGTGGACTTTTCTCAAGAAAATAATGTCTTCATTTAGAAAGTGATAGAAATAACAAATAGAAAAAAGAAGAAAAGGATTTAAAAGAATGCCTGATAAAAATGCTAATCAACCTTTATTTAGACAGGTAAATCCCATTGAGCCTCGAGGACTCATTTACAAGAGAGACCTGATTTTAACTAATATTCACTTTCAGCTAATATTGAAGACAATGAAAGAATGAATATATGCGATAAAATAAAATAAAAAAACTTGTAAAAATCGGCTAGTTGCCTTGATACTATATTTGGTTGTTGTTTGTTCATTTGTCATAATCATTCTTTCAACCTTTATTTATACAGGTTAGTCTCATTGAGCCTCGCGGACTCATTTACAAGAGACACCTGTTTTAAACAAAGAACACAGATGAGGTACAGACAACAATAGACAATCATATAAAAAGCATATAAAATGAAAACTAAACAGAATAAATGAAATAAAATAAAAAACAGCTGCATCATAAAGTGATGTAAAATACTAAAAACAGGAACATTTCTGTGTTGGTTTTTGCCGTGAACTTAGTTAGCAGTTGTTTAAAATCCCTTAGAGAGGTCAAGGTTGAGAGTTTCAGATGTTTTTGCAAGGTGTTCCACGATACAGGAGCGGAGTAGGAGATGTAAGAGTAAGAGGTTAACACAAGATCAACAATGAAATGTTCAGGATGAGAAGAACTAATTTGGCTTGCTAAAAATAAGCAAGAGAAACTAAAACGATAAAAGTACAAAGTAAGCGCACTCACACACACACACAAAAAAAGAAATACAATATTTACAAGGTCCAAAAGAAATATAGGAAACAACATGTATAGAATACAACGGTGCAAATCAGTACAAAGTACCTCACAGACAGTAACACTGCTTAACTGCACATGATACATGTTGCACATAACATACAGCACACAGGTTGTGTGACAGATCACTACACAGGCAGTGAGCAACATGGAGATGAACTGAACCATGACAGCAAGGCAGCAACACACATGATACAGCCACATCGTGCAGCAGCAATAAACATATTAGGTGTCACAGATGAGACGCAGTTCTGTGGAGCTGGTAGACAGAGAAGTTGTCCGGAGCCACAGCCCAGTCGGGGATGGACGACTCCAGTCATGATTCTGCAAAGGTAAAGACACAACAGCTCCTCGTGTCTCGCTCACAATAAATGCATGCATGCAGGTAATCTAGTCCACTCTTCAGAGACTGAACGCCAGAAAGCAGGACTGAAGGGAGAGGGGCTTTGATGCATCTCTGACAGGTCCTGCACAAAACACCGGCTCGCTTCCCTCTCCGTGTTTTCCTTTTATGGCGCCCGAGTAAACAAAGGATTCAAGGCAAAATGTCTACCGTGGAGTCCCCAAAGATCCCCAAAAGTTGGTTCAAAGTCCCCAATCACTAACAATCGCAACTCCGAAAGTGTGTTGCGGTCATACCCGTAGTGTGGGAGTGCAGTGCGAGTGCAAAAAGGCAAAACAAAAACAACAATGAACAAACAAAGTCAAAGCAGAGCTCTCATCAATGCTAGCATACTGCGGTGCATGTGACATAGGCCTCTTAATTTGAGGTTGAAAATAAGTTACTTCAAAACAATGCTGAAAAAAATTGGGGTCTGCCAAAGCAATAAAATAAAAACCAATGCAGATCATAGAAGTAAGAGTTGTGCATTGCCTCTAGTTCTTCTCAGTGGCGACACATCATGTATTTCACCTTTGAACAAGTTTCTTTACTGGTGCCCGCCAGCGATGCAGAGCAGGGTGAAGATTTCATAGAGTTAAGGTTTCTCATTGGCTCAGTCAAAGTCCAGACTTCAGTTTGTTTGAAATGCTGTGGTGGGACCTGAAGAAAGTTGTACAGAAACAAATGCCTGAAAATCTCAAAGAACTGAAGCAATGTTGTGAAAAAGAGAGGCAAAATACCTCCACAGCCATGTGAGACTGGTAGTCTGCAGGAAACCATCACTGGTTCTATTAAAGATCAGCTCAGCTGGAGTGAGCATGGATGTTCATAAATACATTATTTTCTATTTTGGCTCTGTTTTTGTTTAATTAAAGAAACATGGTGGGATTAGTTTTGTGTTTTGTGCAGTTGTAGCTGAGTGGTTAGAGCAGTCGTCCTCCACTGGGAGAGTTGGGGGTTCGATTCCACCAGCAGTCACATGTTGAAGTGTCCCTGTGCAAGACACTGAACCTCTCATTATCTCTGATCTGTGTCCCATCAGTGGATGAATGTGATCTAAAGCTCTGATTAGTCTCTACAGGTTCAGATTATCTTTGTAGAGATGTAGTAGAGTGCTGTATGGATATGTGTGTTGGAGGTAAATGAGGGCGCAGGTTGTATAACAAATATGTAAATTTGCATTTTCAAAGTAAATACCTTACAAGTCAATAAATTAAATGAATCTGCAATTAACAGAAATGACTTGCAGCCATCTGATTGAGAGGAAAGGTGGTGAAAATAAAGTTATCTGAAATAATGAAAAGGTTAACGAAACATTTTTAAGGATGTCCTTCAACAAATGTGTTGCTTTGGCCCTTTAGCAGTGTCTAAAATTAGAAAAATAAATAAATATATTAATTAAAAAATTGCAAAATTATACAGATGAATTAATAAAATTGAAAACCAAAAATGAAAGCATTTGACATGCAGTATAATTTGTAATACACAAAGTGTCAAAGTGTCCAAATGAACAGGTTTACAGAGATACGAGTCTGTGAAACGATCTGAAACAATTCAACTAATGAAACGTCAAAATGGCCACAAATAAACGGTTTTCCCTGCTGAACAGCAGAGAACAAGGCTCCACAACATTCAGAGATGCATGAATAATTTGCTCTGGACATAAATATGATTCAGAAATCATCTTTTAGTCCAGATCTAATTATACAGAACGAAGTTTTGCCTCAGTTAGAATATTTAAAGTTGAATTTTCTGAAAAGTAGCAATCATCATACAAATTGAGTAAAGCTTTTGAGTTAGGACTTCCATCCATCCATCCATCCATCCATCCATCCATCCATCCATCCATCCATCCTCTTTACCCGCTTCTTCCTTTTCGGGTCACGGGAATCACTGGTGCTCATGCCCAGCAGTCACTGTGTGAGAGGTGGGGGGCACCCTGGACAGGTCTCCAGTCCATCACAGGGACACATAGAGACAAACAACCATTCACTCTCTCACTCACACCTAGAGACAATTTAGAATTACCAATTAGCCTAAAATGCATGTTTTTGGTCTGTGGGAGGAAACTGGAAACTGCTTTACCAACTGAGCCTCTGTGCTGCCCGAGTTAGGACTTTATAATGTTTTTTTGTTCCTCTAAAATATTCATAATGTTGGTGTTAAATAAAGCAGAAGGCACAGATTTGTTGAACATAAAGCCTCAGCATTACTTTTAGCACCGGGTTGTTGTCGCCCCGGTTCGATCATGGCCGACTCACTCAGAGTGTCTGAATTAGATATGAGTTGTCTGCTCCCCCTCCGGCAGCGCTGCTGACACTGCTGAATACATATCAATCCACCATCATCAAAATCCATAGCAGCTTGTGTTGTCTTTTGAAAA